AGATGACTGATGTTAAGGAGAATAACCTCTGACTTACTTTCGCTGCCTAAAGAACAGTCACGCTAACGCAGCTAAGTTTGGTACATATTTTGGGGAGACAACTTAAGAGAATTCCTTCTGTTCCCCACAGAAATATTTGCCCAGTGGCATGTAATAAGGCGGTTAGCGGTTGAAAACCTCCAGCTGCTCTGAGGGAGAACGATGAAGCCTTCTCCGCTGGTAAAGTGGTAGTCTCAGAAACCTCCAGGGGCAGTTCAACTCGGTCCCGCAAAGTCTTATGGGTTGGAATTGATTAGATGGGAGTGAGTGTGAGTTGTGAGTTTTTGAGGGCATAAGAAAAAGTCTGCCGACTCATTCTAACAAGCTATGTTATATATACTTGTAACACTGGAATGGGACAATGGTGGTCACAATTCTACAAGTGGTAGAATTCTTGCCTTCTATGCAGGCTACCTCATTTAGAATCCTGGTCAGTACACCGCATGCAGAGCCACCAGCCCTCTATCAATGAAGATGGTGTGAAGGTGGTGTGTTGCTACAATGCACAACTTCCCGACTAAGGGAGACTAGGAAGGCCTAACTACCTATTTCTAAAAATCAGCCAATATAAATATTATAGATTCAAAAGGACGGCATAGGCCTGGGCTGTGTTTTTCTTAATTATGCATAAGACTGCCATTAGTTCGAGATTCAGTACACCAGTAGCTAACCACAAAAAGAGAGTAACCCACTGCCGTTGAGTCAATTCTGACATACAGCAACCCCACAGGATGGGTAGAACTGCTCCGTAGCAGATGGCTGGTGGATGTGAACTGCTGAGATTTGGGTGAACAGCCCGATGCTGAACCCATGCATTACCAGGAGGCTAAAAACAGAAGTACACAATCTAGGCTACACTACATCTAATAGTTACACTGCTTCGACTTTTAAGTTTCTAGCAAATTTTTTGCATTAAACACACATATCCAACCATCCTGGAAGAAATTGTACATAAAGTATGGGCATCTGAGGAGAGAGTGAGAGCAGTGGCTTAGGGGAGTCGTCCTATGGGAACAGTCTCTCTTCGATGGTTTCATTCTGAGGCCCCAGGAACAATGCTCCTAGCTGGTACTCATGTACAGCGAGGCTCTAAGCTCACTCACTGGGCTGTGGGCTTCATGAGCAGCCATGGCTCGGCTCCTCAAGGGCAAAATTTAATTCTTTATTCAGTGAATGGATGAGACTACTGATGAAAATGCTTTTCTTATAGTGATTTCTAAAGAAAGAATTGTTTCTCCCCAGAATGATGACATAAAGCAGTGTTTTTTTCTAACTTTTAGCATGTGATATGTGAATTATATCACTGCTGGTTTTTGTAATAAAGGACTAATTGGAATGCAGTTTAAAGCTGTTAAAAACACACACAACCTAGAACCCAGCACATAAAGATCCGTACTTGAAAAGTAAATTTTTTCTAAACAAAACATAGACTTTTGTACCTATGCTCTGGTAATGTTAATCTCTTGGTATGCTTTCTAAAAAAAACACTGGTTGTATTCTTTGTATTTTCCCCCAACTGGAAAAACCCAAAGACTTTCAACAGTAGAACACAGAAATTACAGTAAAATCCTACACCACACAGCATGAGAATGGAAAAAGTACAACTATATACAACATGTATCAGCCTCACGAAACAAAGCAAAGCAAAGAGAGACTATGATTCTATCGATATGTTCAAGGGGTGGTAGAGAGAATAGAAGAGCACACAAGGAACTTCTAGGGTTCTGGTAATGAACAGATTCTTGATAGAGTGTGCATTACACATAGCTGTCTTTGTGAAACTATACCATGCTATCCTCGTGATTTGTGTACTTTTCCTGTTACCTCAGTTATACATTCATATTAAAGTGTATATTAATATTTCACTATCTACTAAGTCCAGGAGCTCTGGTGGTATAGTGGGTTAAACACTGAGCTGCTATGTACAAGATCAGCAGTTCTAACCTATCTGCTGCTCCCTGGGAGAAAGACGAGGCTTTCTACTCCTGTAAAGCTTTACAGACTCAGAAAACCACAGGGGCAGTTCTACTCTGTCCTATTAGGTGACTACGAATCGGAATAGATTTAATGGAAGTGAATTTGAATCTGGGGCTCACAGTGCTGAATTTCAGTTTAAAATAGCATCCTACAAAAGCAAATGTCCAGAGTGAGTCACAAGCTAAAGTTCGGGAAAATTAAGTTAACAGATCTGCAGTGGGACTTGATTTAGAGGAAAGGGATGTGAGCTCCATGACCTACCCAGGGGGACTCGTCTCGGATCGCTGACAGCTGGGAGGGAAAGTGGGTGAGGATGGCTCTGGAACCCCTCTGAAAATCCCCAGATGAACCCCTCACCAACAGGTCTAGAATTTTACTAATAAGCAATTCACCTGGATTTACAAACTTTGAGAATGCAAACTTATCTGTCAATGTTACTAGTGCTATTAGTCTTTGACACTCTAGTATCAATGAAGTAAATTTAATAACATTCTATAAGTATTTTCTACATATGCCAGCAATTACTAAATACCTCTAGGTCTTAGTAACTCTGTGAAAATATCCTATTAATCTTTACCATTTTTGAATGAACTCATGAGAAACTTGCATAGACATGCCTTATAATGTCTGGGCATTGACAGCTCTCCTCCAAGCCAATCTATGAACACCAGAGTCTGACTGATTTCTTAAAACCCTTTTAGGTCTAACATGGACTACCTGGCTCGGTTCCATTACAAAAGACACCACTGGGACAGAAACCACTGGAGAATACTTTGATTACTCAGAGGGCAACAGCAAGATACTGATTCATAAGAGGGTCGGTACAGAAGGAGAAGCTAGGGAACGGAAGGGAAATAGAGCCAGATATAAGAAAGGACCCAAAGCATCATTTTCTTCTATCCTATTTCTCCAAAGATTAGAAGTCTAACACGTAGTGTGGATGGAGAGCAATGCTGGGGAGGACCTTTCCCAAAGGATTGGCTTTTACTCCTGTAGTTTGGATTTTCCCAAATCACCCCCAAAGGCTCTTGATAAGCAAAGCAAAGAAATGACCCCATGTTTAATGTTTTGGGGACAGCAACTCAAGTCTGTAAACAGATAAAATAAATAATCCATTCCTAAAGGTATGCCACAGCTGCAATCTAGCTGAGTCAGCTTCTACTTGACGTTTTTTCTCTCTGATTCTAAGAAATTGAGTTCCAACCTAGCAAGGATCCTTACCTTGCTGTTTAGTTGCTGAATTCTTAATTCCTTTTGGTGAATTTCCTTTAAGCTGTCAGTGAGCTGAGTCTTGAGAAGTTCTGTCTCATAAGCTAGGCTTTGTGACCCATCTTGGGAAATTGATGCCTCTGAGGATGTCTGCCAAGATACAAGCATGGGTGCTATTCTCTCTATTTTTCAATTTTTAAAATTTTATTTATTAATTCTTAAATAG